CAGACAGAGTCTCGCCAGACGCCAATCCATCACGGAGCTCCTAATATAGAATAGATGGAATAACCCTCAGCCCTCCTGTGACCCTGACCTGATTAAGCAGTGGTCAAAAAAGTGGATGGATGGTGAAAAGTGAAGTTTTTGACTAGTGTGATGGAACAATTCTTGTTCAAGCGATTTTCTTTTATTTGCATCAGGCAGGCACTGAAAACACAGAAACGCAATTTTTTTTAAATGTTAGATCAAATTACATGCAACTTAAAGATGTTAGCAGCTGAATGATATCAAAGCAGTAAGCAAGGAACATAAACGATGAACCACAACAGCTGTATGCAGTGAACTGTACCTCAAAGACACAGATTGCATTTTCTTAAGAAATGATGAATAAATGCATTTTTCTGTAAGAAACCTCTGCGGGATATCTTTAGCATAGCTCCTCAAATTTTAAATGAACATGATTTTTAACATTTTATCACTGTTATTATTTTACATGTTAATGTTGGGGATGATCTTAAATAATCAGCTAGCGTATCTAAAGTAGATGATAACCAAAAACTACAGAAAAAACTAACATGGAAAGTCTTGATTTGTGCATACTGGCTGCTTACTGAGGGTGCTGGAGTACACAACAGTAGGCAATATGTTATGACTTTGTTCATTTTCTTTAGTCACACTAAACAATGGCTCATTCTGTATTTTTAAATGAGCAGTAAAACGTTGCTGTATTATAATAATAATAATATAGGTTTTAAAACTCAGACTGAAATCAGGTAGTGCTGCCATTAATATGGGTATTCTCTCCTTCCAGAAAACCTTAGACCACTGTTTTCACAGGCTTAATATGAAGAAGAATAAACAAAGCTTTTTATATACAACTCAAAGATCAAAAAGACTGGTAGGCTTATGAATGTTTATTTGAGAGGGGACTAAGAAAAATGACAAACCAAATTCAGCTATAATTTAATTACCCTGTGAGAATAATGATATCAAGTGGAATTAATTACTTTGTAGCAAGTTCATTATTCTCTACTGATTTATCTACATTCATTAAAAAATTTGTGAGCAAGCTTTTCTTGTAAAAGGAAGACATCTCATTATTCTACACTGACTTATCTTATTATTGAAGAACAACGGAGTCAACTTTGAAAAAAAGAGGCTAAAATCAAATAACAATAGTGATGACGTGCTCCCTGAAGGGCTGTCTTATATTTCTGAAACTCAAAAAACTACTTGCCTTATAAGTAGAAGGAACTAATTAAATGCCACACCAGTAACCATTGTGCTGCAGAGTGTGTGCCAGTGTGTGGAAAGACAGTCGCAGTATATGGTTAAGCGGAAGTGGTGACGCCAAGAGACCAAACAAATGAAAGACACTGGCAAAAAAATAAAAAATAAAGAAGAAGGGAGGGAGTACTGGAAGACAAAGAGCGAAGGGATGCAGGAAAGGGGAGGCGAGCAAGATGAGGGAGAACAGCACGAGCGTTTTTGTCTGTGACAATTGGACAGACGCTGAAAAATGCTGGTGCCTCTGTAAACGCGTGTGGAAGATAGACGGACCGTGCCAGTGAGCAATGTATTAATTTGCTTCAAAACAATATGACATGTTGAGTCACCTTCAAGAAGTACATGTCCGGGGCTCCTTTTGTTTTTCCTGTTTGTGTGCGTGACACTGCACTGTCTATGTGCTGTCTGTGTCTTTGAATCATTTTATTTCACTCATTAGATATTTTACTCATCCAACACAACCACCGCAAGGCATGTGGTCACATCCTCCTGTCTTTCTCGTTTCTTCTCATTACTCTGGGCCTATGGGACACAAATACACTGAGTCTACAAGTTGTACATGCAATAATAGTTCTGTGATTAAGTTTCGTGGAAGGAATGAGCAAGCAGAAGTCGTCCACCTTTACTGAACTTCATTATATCAGCAACTCTAAAGAAAGAACAGCTAATCGAGAGTGTTTAAGTGAACTGTTCACAATGGGGCTAAAATCCAATACCAGGAAGCTATAACCCATTTTTAATATTTTCCAAATAAGGTGTGAGAAGAGAGGGATGTGTTGTTACCTTGGCAACAGACACACCTTTACTACAGTATCCCATTACACTCACTGGCATCCACTGCAACCTGCTATCAGTGTCAAGTCACACGGGACAGAATTGCGCAGGCACACCTGCAGACGAGAGTACAAGAGGCCCATTTTGATTGGCTGACAGTGAAATCAATTTATTTTAGAGTGCAGCAGGTGCAGTGACGCACGCCTCTGTTCGTTACTAATGGTGGATGAAAGCCCAGCATAGATTGGATAAAGCGATGTAGGACTGATATAGAAAGACAGAAAGGTAAATGGACAGATAGACGGGTTAGGAGATGTGCTGGAGTGGGAGCAGGCTGGGGAAGCCTCGATTTGTTTTTTGTGTGGGGATTACACAAACACGACGTAGCGATTATCATCACACACCGAAACCGTGCCTACACAGTACTGCGAACCTGCTGTGTGGGTGACTGGCACAACACTGACTGACTGACACACGGCGGTGGCATTTAGACAAAGTTTGCCTCAACAGGCAAGCATGCTAACACGCAAGTACAGACAGTCACAGACAGACACACTACCACAGCTGGCGGCGTGGGTGTGTGGAAAGGGGAAGCCAATGAGGTGCTGGTCGTGGATGACCAGCGGCTACTGAAGCTTGCGTGTCCACAAGTCCAGTTAAGGACAGAGCAGGAGGTGTGAAGGAATAACAGCACACACCGTGTATTGGATCCCCTCAATTACTCATTTGTTTATCGTGCCTGCGGCTCAGTTGGCTTTGTGTAGAATGGCAGTTACAAACTGTGTGTGTATTCGCTTATGTATGCACCCGTGCACACGCCCAAATGTGTGACTCTTTCCTCACTCATACGCTCATCTGTTGAGCCGCCTGTGTGTTTCTATGAATGGGTATGCTTCTGTTGTCTACATTCTCACATCTCTCGGTCTGAGCAGCGGTCTACATTTATTTTTAATGTCAGACACACAAAGAAAAGCTGAAATTATTCTTCAAGGTCAACTCTGATCCACTCTAGTGCGGGTTGAATGATGCAATTTCACAGTTATTGTTAGTGTGAAGGTTATTTTCCTGTATTTTGAAAGTGTTGCTTGCGTAATGCCACATTAACAAAGTACTCGCCAAAAACACACTGTAACAGTTTATCCATAGATTTTTATGCAGCTTTATTCAACTCTTGCATGTCAGTCGAATTCATAATTAAATAAAGCAAAACTGAGTCATCTCGAGAAGGTAGACAGCAAAACACATTCATCAGTCTGAAGAGACCTGATTGCAAGTCTTCAACAGATGAGCAGAAAATTTCCAATAAAAATCATTTTGCAATCACTTCTGTCCTACTGACTGCAGATGCAATACCTGGTGGCATGTCTGTCCCCTTAGGCCAGTGTTTCAAATAGTGGAGCTGGACTCACTGGTGGGAAATTGAGCCACAGCAGGAGTGAAACTCAGTTACATGTAAGATGCATGTTAGGATATATAGATCAAAGATGTTGTGCTGACCCTTATTGCTGAAATGAAACTCGGATTCTTTTGTATTGTTATTGCTGGATAAAAACCGAGGTTTGGGCTGGATTCTAGGTGGGGAATGCCCCCCCCCCAAAAAAAGGTTTGCTTACTTATGAAATATACTTGCTTAATGTCATATTATGGTTAAAATTGCACAAAACAGCAATCAGTTTGTTTAACTGATTGTCCAAACCAGATAATGCATGGGGGCTATCTGCAAGGCATACCCTGGGTTGCCAGTCCATCACAGGGTAGTTTATCTAAAAAGGCTGAAAGACTACAAAAGACTTTTGTCCTTGATTGCATACCCAGTACACTCCTTCAGATGGTGGACTGCATGTTTAAAACTTAATGTGATCAAATAAAAGTCAAATGAGAGCATAATTTATCACATGGTGACACTGTTACATCTGATGCTATCTTGCTATCTTACAGCTGGTGGTTGAACACAAGCAATGACAGCTTGAGGCACAGACAGACAGTAAAACAGTTTTCAAGTGGCATGAATATCAAGGCATCTGTTGTGTTTTACTGTCTTTTTCCCTTTTGGATTCATTAAAAGCAAATCACCCCTTCATTATTAACCTAATTAACAATATTTCAACTACTGCAATAAAAAGGTAGAAAAACAAGAAGAAAGACATTAGAGGAGAGAGGAATTATGTTTGATAACCCTCATCCTCATCTTCATATCTCCGATTTTCTTTAACACGCCCAAATGTCCTTAAATAGTAAATGAAACCTCACTTCCATATGTCCACTTCTATCTCGTTTAGCTAATGACTGCCATTTGATATCTTCATCATCAAATTATGTCAGGAGCTATAATTAATCTACCAACAGTATGACTGGAGTATGTCGTAATTAACCTCCACACCAAACAGGCCACTATTCAATCACTGTTGTTTTGAGTGACTCTCTTCTGGCACCGAGCTCTCCCTTATGGTTGAATCATGATTCGGGGGCATCCTTCTTTCCTAAGACAGGACCATCTAAGTCTTTTTCTGTATCTTTCTGTCTGGCTGCTGCGCGCCGGAAGCAGACCATAATAAGCGTCAGCCAGGAAACAAGCTATGCGCTCTTCTCCTACCCGTCCTCCGCTCCTCCACAACTCAGTCATCATTACCGGGCACCGTGCCTTAGCTCATTCACCCCTCCCTACACTGCTTCTACATTCACTCTTTAGCACTCCCTCCCTCTTTTCCCAATGTGCGTCGCAAAGTCTCCTCCTCTCACAGAGTCTGAGCGCACGTCTCCAACCAGCCTTTACGCGCGAGCAAACTCTCCAAGAGAATCCCCTACGGCCGGCCCCTCCCCTTTCCGTTTCTTACCGCCCTCACTCATTCATGACCCCGATCAGTGACGTAGGAGATTCCACGGTGCCTACTGCCGTAGGCAATGACAAGGTGCTTGAGTATATATGGGACACTGGTAGCCATCAACCGGCACACTCTCAGTCGCTCCGACTCGGGAACCAGGGCATCAGCGGAGATAGCAGGCTTTACTTCGCGGTCTTAGGCTAACTCGCTTTGGGCTTTGGTTCAGGATGGAAACCTCTACTTTTTCTCGGAGCCGACGATGCTCCATCATGCGCAGCTGCAAAAGTAAGTTTCTCTCTATCTTCTTTGGTTTTGGATACCCATTGGATTCAAATGACAGTTAATGCTGCTTTGCTTTAGAACTCGAACACTTTAAAGTTTTTTAAAATATAAGAATGTGTGAAGTACTTTGACTTATATGAAACAGAACATCCAAAATTGATATATGGATGGATGATACAAAATTGAAATGAAAGTCTGTCAGCTCTCTGTCTGTTTGGTGATTTATTCGAGCTAAATTGGATGTAAAAGTGTGTTAAGAGCTTTTTCTTTGACTCAGAGAAATCGTTGCTATGATTTGATTAAATTCCTTTCCGATTACGCTGTGCGTAATGGTCGGCGTAAGTGTAGTGCCAAGGTGTAAACTTAATTTACTGCGACAGATAAGGTTTCTGTACATGAAACCTAAGAGAAAATATGAGTAGATGCAAGCCATAATCGCCAAAAACAATTAAATAATTTTCTTATCTAAAAATGAAGGCAGATATTTACCGTTATGCACTCTGCATGATGTTTCGTTGAATGGTAATGGATGATTATCGCACCATGGACAGCTCCCACTCACTTCCTTTGCTCTGTCCCCGCTCTTTCTAGGCGGTCTCTCCCTCTGGCTGGTGGTGTGGCTAGTCCTTGGTAAGCCAAGTCCGGCATCGGCATGTCCGCACCTGTGTGTGTGCTATCCGACGCCGATGACTGTGAGCTGCCAGGCGCAGAACTTCACCGCTGTTCCTGTCGGAGTGCCGTACGAGTCGCAGCGCGTGTTTCTCCAGAACAACAGGATCACGGAGCTTAGAGTTGGCTCTTTTGGCTTCGGAACTCAGGTAAGAAAGAATGAAGAAAGCAGCATCTACAGTGTGAAGTTGTTGCTTTTCCACACTGAAAGTTTAAAAATAATGAAAAATATAATCAAAAATGTATTTCATAAATACGTTTTCTCCCCTCAGGTTCTGTGGCTGTTTTCCAACAACATCACGTGGATTGAGGCAGGGGCCTTTAGTGAGCTGAGGGACTTGGAGGAGTTGGACCTGGGGGATAACCCTAACCTCCACAGGTTGGAGGGGGGAGCCTTCCGTGGCCTTGAGAAGCTCCAGAGCCTCCACATGCACCGCTGCCGGCTCACTGCCCTGCCCCATGACATCTTCCACAAGCTTTACAGTCTGCAGTTCCTTTATCTGCAGGTAGGGGCGCTGGAAAGCCATGCACATGCATACAGATAACTCTGACACATAGAAACACATGCATCCACCCACACATGTGCCTTCACATGCAGCATCACACGTGTTATCAATATTACCAATCACACTCACTGTGTCTGATTTTCTCAGCCTAAACCCCATTTTTTCTCTAATTTGCAGGAGAATAATCTTCACTTCCTGCAGGATGACATCTTTTCTGACCTCATCAACCTGAGTCAGCTGTTCCTGCATGGCAACCGTATCCGTACCCTTTCAGAGAACGTGTTCCGCGGCCTGGTCAACCTCGATCGCCTTCTCCTCCACGACAACCGCATCAGACAGGTGAACCGCCGGGCCTTCCGTGACCTTGGCCGCCTGACAATGCTCTTCCTCTTCAATAACACTCTGGCTGAGTTGCCCAGCCAGACTCTGAGGGACACCCAGGGCATCGAGTTCCTCCGCCTCAATGCCAACCCCTGGTCTTGTGGCTGTGAGGCCCGTGCCCTGTGGGAGTGGTTCCGTGAGGCCCGTGTCTCCTCATCTGAAGTCATCTGCTCCTCCCCTTCCACCCGTCGTGGCCAGGATCTCCGCTTCCTTCGTGAGATGGACTTCGCCCTCTGCCCTTTGCCTGACCCTGGCTCCATTGCCGGCTCCACCACCACCACCTTCAGCACCAAGACCCGCTGGTGGTTCCACAAGAACAAGCCCCAGTCATCCACTAAAGGTGTCTTCGAGAAAGCCTCAGAGACTGTAAAGGCCGGTTTGTACGGAAAGGGCCCATCAACAATCACCTCAGCAGTCAAGTATGAGCTGGGAGAGGATGAGCTGGCACTGCCCAAACTCGAGCAAGAAGAGTACTGGGAAAACTATGGCAATGAGGACTCAGGTGTCACCCTGCGGTGCTTTGAGCTTGAATGTCCACCTGAGTTCGACCTGCCTCCATCTTCCTCCTCTCCCAGATCCTCCTCACCCTCTTTTCTTTTACTACTAGCCCTTTCTGTTTTCACCCTCTGCCTCAACCTCCACCTGCTATTCGGCTGAATCTGACTCTTAGTACCACACCCCTACCCTTCCAGCCTGTTTTAAAGGCTGTGAGGATCCCTGTTAGACTTTCTACACCCCCTTTGCCCGCTTTGCTGTAAGCAAATCCTCAAGGCACAGCAAGGGAGATGGGGGGACGGTTAGATTTGAAATCTACCAACTACAGGGCTTAACACTTTTCAGGGCTGCTAAGAGTTCTTCAGCTAAGGTATATATTTATCTACAATGCTCTGCAGGTATGGCTTTCTCTGCCTTACCTGTATGATGTCATGTTATGATGCCCTGTAATCAGGGCTACGAGGGCTGAGTCCATCTCTAGTACAAACGCAATTTGATAGCAGCTGTGAATGATGTTGTCAATTCTGTCACCTCAACTTATTTAAAACTACTAGTGCTTTTAGTGCATCCAATTAACTGGTTGCTGCAAATGCTACAATTACTGTTAGAATCAGTGCACAGTAATGAAAATACTGTAACCACTTAAAGTGTCATGTAAATAGTTATGTGTACTGTGAGTGTTCAAACTAATATCTGTGGTTCATCACAATCATGTTCATCTTGATCCAGAAAAACTGTGAAGGCTTGTGCTTCTACAGGACAGAGCACCAGGCGCAAAATGAAGTTGAGGGCCTTAGAGCGAGAGAGGAGAAAGGGAAACAAAACTGTGAGGCTGAGAGGGAGCAAAAGGAACGAGAGAGAGATGCACGGACGTCATAGAAGAGGGAAGGGAGACAAAATGGCAGTGAGAGGAGGGGAGGAGATTTCAAAGGAAACAGCTTTAGAAAGAAGAAGATGTGGGTGGAGATGGGAGTGTTCAGGCAGCAATAAGAAAAGAAGCAGAAAAACAGCGAGACAGAACAGAGGACAGTGCTGGCGGTAGAAGCAGCAATTTGCAGGCGACAAATAATAAATCTACTCATCAGTAGTTGTTCCATCCATTATACTCATACCGTTCACCATTTTCTGTATATATAGTGTTGTTTTGCGACAACCACAGGGAATGAATGCTTCCTGTCAGGAAGCCAGAGATTTTGTTTTTTGGATGTCTTTCTGTGACATATTGATATAATGTGTGATGATTGTTGACTTGGATGCAGATGAAGATCTTGATAAAAAAAGATATATTGAATATTTCTTGAATCATTCCTTTCTTTGGGGCAGTTTTTGCTGAATATATTTTAACTGAAGGAATTCTGAGGTGCACTTCATGCACCATCATAAAACAAATGTGGGATCAAAAGTGCACAAATTGTCTCAGTTCATCTGAAGTGTGGTGACTACACTGGACTGAAAGGACTGATCACTTGGCCACATGGAAAGCTCTGACTTAACAGGCATCTGTGTGTGTGCATAAATGGGGATGAATGGATTCACAAGTAGGCAACACTGCAAAAGGCAAGTACGTCAGTAGGTTTCTCACTTTTGTGATTCATCAACAGGCGATGCCAAATGGACAGACAAAGCGCAAACTGGCTGATTTGTAAATACACCAAGAGAGCAATGAGAGAGTCTGGAGAGAGACAGAAATCAGAGTTAAATTTAGGCTCAAAGACTGACATGCAGAAAGACTAATGGAAATGATATGAGGTGAAACAGGAAAAATGTGCTGAGGCAGCAGACTGGAGAAATGCTCTGATGGAGCAGCACAAGAAGGGAAAAACAAAAGAAACAGCAGGAAGTTACCTTATACATGAAAATTTGAGATATCCATCAGGAGGGTTTCTTAATTGCTTCTTCTTGAAAACAATTTACTGTAAGGACTTGGAAAAAAGGGAAAGATAGTGTAGGTGTACTCATGCACAGCTACTCTTTTTCCTAAGAGTCATTTAAATTACTCACTGTTATCCTAAAGCTTTCTTGATCTCGAGGGTAAAGACAGGATGAAAGGAGGTGATGTCTGGCTGTGACGGTGGTGAGTAGGGCAAGGCAAAGATGTAGTAGGAGTGAAAGAGTAGGAGGTAGTGAGCCACGTACAAACCAGCTGGCCTTGCAAGGGTTACAGAAAACTAGTTCCTCTTTGAGATTTTCTGTTTTTTTGCCAACTGAGTTCCCCATTAGGAATGACTTTGGAAAATATTCAGTGTCATCTTTGTCAGCTTTTTAGTCTCTTTCACAGTCTAACGGAGGAGGTCAAACTGAGCCCGGGTGCTCTTCAGTGGCCATGACAGTGAGGTCACTGTCAGATGACCAAAGTGCCAGTTATACCATTTCCAATTTTTGTTTGTTTTTCTGTCTGCATGTTCTATGTTTTGTATCTGAAAAAGAAATGATACTATATGAAAATCTGCTTATTTGGTATTTATTTTTACTGTAAAAGAAAAGAAAAGATGTTCTTCAAAGATGCACCATAAAGAAAGAATAAATTCATACTTGTTTTAACAAAGCATTTTCTAAGAATGTGTGGGTGTTTCATTCTATATCTAGGCAACTGTCCAGTCAAACACCCAAAGCAATCAAACTGCACACACACATATGCATGCAAGCATGCACGCACACACAAAATCACGTGGACACACAGACACAGTTGCCATTGTGTAAGTCCTCCAGGCAGTTATCCAGCTTTCTTAACGGTGCAACTACTCAACAGAGAAAGAGAACAGGCAATGTGGGGGTGAGAACAGTGAGGAGAGTTAAACTATTCACTGTTTAAGGTTCAACCTGCCTCAAAAGGAGCACCTGCTCTTGCAGTAAGATCACATAATCAAAAAGAGACACCAATAATGATAGTAATCAAAATATAATGATCATAAGCACTGTTTATGGCCACAGGGTTATTTTTGCCAAAAAAAGGAAAAGGAGAAAAGTAAAAACTTTGGAACATTTTTCAATAAACAACTGATATTAAAGGAAACGTTGCATATCATCAAAACTTTATTACAACACTCAAACACTCTCCTCTGATCAAAATGTCTGGGAGGAAGTTGCACTTTAAGTGTAACGAAATCCATTATACTCGGTCATTTGAAGCCTCAGATTCAATCTGAGTGAAAATCTGACTTATGTTGGATACAGCTGGACTAATTGATTTTGCACCCACTCAGAGGAAAGATGACCAACACCATACTTTAATGCTACAACAGACATCCTGTGATACATGCTCAAAGTTACCACTGTGACACTTTTATGACCAAAGAAAAGGTGGAAAATAAAAGCAGAGCAAAAACATGGAAAGTGAAATGATGATAATCAAGCTGACAGGTTACAGCAAAGTATATGATGTGTATTACAGTGATGTGCCTATTTTCATTTAACCTTTTCCATACATCTGGTATGACAAATCTTGTCATACCAGATTTATTAGATCTAAACTGCACAGTCTGGTTTTGAAGAAATAATAAATCCTAAAGCATTTATTGATGTCATACATCAGCAGATCATCAAAGTAATTATGATTCATCCTCTGGTGACCATAAATGATCCATTTTAGAGAGAGTGAAACACTGTGCCCAAAACTTCTCTGGTCTAAGTAGCCACACAGGACTCTTTGCATGTAGCATATCTACTGGTTGAATCCAGAGAGAATAGGAAATTGTAGAAAATACAAGAAATTTCAGTGATCTGAGAGGTGGACATTACTAAACTCTTTCATCAGGCTGGGGATATCTTTAAATCTGGATATAAGTGAGAAAAGTGGGAGGAAAAAAAGGTGTTTTGGGGAGTATCTGAGAAATGAAGTCTGTATATAAACTAAGATGTACCCACACAAAATTCTTGTTTCCAAAAAACTTTGTGCTTTGAGATCCCTTCCAGTTGCTCTGGAAGTAAATTAAATCATAATTTATACAAATCAATGAGAAGCATTTGTTTTTTTAGTAGAATGCGGCAATAATGGACCGTGCACAGAGTTATCAAGCTGGCAGGGTAATTACCTAACTACTTGGCAGGTGGGAGTTTTAGTTTAACTATAGATGATTTAGTAGAGATTGCAAACATCTTTAATAAAAACAAACAAACAAACAAACAAACAAAAAACAAACAGTGGTTTAAATAGTTTCATTGCTTTGATGCAAATATGGGAACGAATTCCTAATCTTTTCACATTGTCCAACAGCATGTGTGTGGCAGACTTCAATCTGTGCAAACACAAAGCTGCTACATGCAAAAGTCACAGACTCCTGCTGCACACACACCACTCTCTGTGGCACAGAGCTCGCTCCATGGAATCACAGCTTGTCATGCCTATATAAGGATGAAACAAGCACATCAGACAGCTAATCTGTCACATTCCTATTGGTCTCCAAGCTTTTGTTTGGCAGAAAAATTCTATGACGCACTTCGTCGTAGAGTCCATTTAAACTGTGTGGGTTTGATTGCATGACGTCCATGTCACTCAACCATCAGATCAGACAAAATCAGAGCCACAGCGAGTAGAGTGGGGAGGCAGGGCATGAATGTATCTGTATAAGCTACAGTATGTTGAATAGATGAATATTAATGACTACAGAGTTATTGAAGAGAAGTGAGGGAGCAGCTCAGAAACGAGGAGGAAGCTCGTTTCTCTGCACTTGTTCAAGTGCGTCACTACTTTGTCACACTTATTTCCACCTGCTGGGCCTCATCCCTCTCTTTCCCTCTCTCTCACGCTCACACACACACACACACACACACACACACACACACACACACACACACACACACCTTCTCACGTGCATACGCAATTTGCACGTCTTTCGACTTTATGCTGAGCAGCTGAATTTACACCACCTCTCAGATTCCTGTGCAACAAATCGAAGATCTTTTCACATCTTGACATGAGGTCTTTGTGTTCCTGCTTTCACACATCTCTTTCTGTAAAGCGCGCTTGACGTCATGTCTGTTGCTCTTCTCATATTTCTGTACTTTGCTTCCTATTTGAACCAAGAACCTTGCCTGATACATGGTTTTTCCTTTTTCATAGAGATAAATAGAAATGTGACCCTTTCAACCTCTCATTTGTAGGTATTTGTGTTTGGCTGATAGCTGAATTCGCTCTATCACTGTCATTTTCTAAATTACTTTACATTTATGTTTGATGCTTTCTTTTGATCCTTCAAAGTATTTTTTGTCAGTTTCTGCAAAAACATCTCACTGTACATAACTGTTCATTATTTCTTTTGTCCCTTTTTACGGCCGGTACGAATAGAAATATCTTGCATATCAAAGAGACGACAACAAAAGTTGCTTGCTATAACAAGCTGAGAGAGAAAAGCTTTTTGATCCATTGTACAGCCATGAGGCCAGTTTTTATTTTCATTGACTTAATTCATATAAAACATGGAAAGGTTAAGAGTTATGCATGCATTATGCACAAGGTAAGCCCATTAAAAACAGCAGTACAGCACATGTATTAAACTTTATGGAAATGGTAGTATTTGATGCTTGATGCTATTCATTTAAATAAATCAAATCATTCCATCTATTACAAACAGATATGCATGGTTATGTCAGACAATATAGACAGCATCTTCTGTGCAGATAAAAAGTTAGCACACTCTTACTCATATCATGTGTGCACTCGGGAAAAAGTGAAAAGTCACTGACGCCAATATGAAGTTAAAAAACACCGCTCGCTGTTAACAGAATGAGATGAAAATGAGGATTTGTGTAAAAGAGAGGGAGACGGAAAGCTAGCAGCAGAAGAGGTGTGACGTTTGAGTCATGTACTTGGATCTCTTTTCAGCGAGAACATTTGGAAGGCTTAAGTGTGCAAGCACACACACACGTGCGAATGCACCCCCGTTGGCAGCATTTGGCGTTGCTAGTACGCCTTAAGAGAGACCCACTGGGAGACAGACGTTTCTCATCGCATCACACAAGCGGGATCCACGCACATGCATGCCCACACACACACATGCATACTACACACTGACACCTACATGCAGACTCACCCTGCTTCCCCAGCCAGGTGGCCCCAAAATAATCTTTCCATGGCATAAACATTTGCATTTCAGTGTGTATTTTGGTGTTTCTGAGGTGACAAGTACGTCAGGATCTCTGCTGTCATCTTGATCCCCCTGAAAATTTTGAATTTAAACTAAAATTTGCCTGTTCACAAAGATGTTTATGTATAGATTGAAAAAGAGTCCATGCAGAGCGCTGAGTATATACCAAATAAGCAAAGATGAAGAAGCTAAAACACACAGGAAACAAAT